TTATGGCTGGGGCCTCTTCCAAAGGCCATGGTTCGGTTTTAACCCCCTTTTCCTCTTACCTGAGTTGGGGTTTAATTAAGTTTTTTTTTGAGATGTCATTAGCCCAACTGGGGCCCCGGGGGAATTCCTAGTTAAGTCATAACTGATAGCCCCCCCCCCCCCCCCACACACACACACACTTGATCAAGACAAGCATCCAGACAGAAGAAGGCTGGAACCTATTCCTTCAGAAGGGCTGCGAGGATGAAGGCGGAGACCCACTTCAGCCCTGATGTATGGGGGGAAATCGGCGCTCCACACAAGGGCATATGGGTATTACAACCCAAGCGCCCTTCCTGCTCTCCTGTCCTGGTTGTTTCTACTGGCTCCCGCCACTGTTTCTCTCTCTCTCCTCTCCCATTATTGCTGGCTCTGTTTCCTTGGCCTGAGTGTTTCTGGAACCTATAGCTTCCAACACAGCAGACACCTAGAATCCATGCAGGCAGGTGCCCCTAAGTTAGCAACGGAAGCTCCGAGGGAGTTGGACTGCACTGGAAGGGGAGTGTCTAAGGCCTGGGGGATGGTCAGGGGTGGGTGGTGTCTCCGGAAGCCCGCCCTTCCCTGTAGCAGCCGTGTCCTCCCAGAAGCCAGGTCCCTGCTATACACCGCCCTCTGGTGGTCTTCAGAATCAGTTCCCTTCTAGACTAAAGGAAAGAACTATACCGGTATACAGTTCACCCTTGAACCAACGCCAGCGTTAAGAGCGCTGAACTCCCGCGTAGTCGGAAATTACCACGGTCCTACTGGAATGGGTGGATTGGACCTGTGCAAAGGAGCCTTTTTGCAGGAGGTGAGAAATGATATGTGAGGCTTGGGGCTTTGTTAAGCTGCTGGGGCTGAGCCACGGGTGTTAGAGGCTAGTGAGGAGCCCGCCTGCCTATCTTTGAGAACGCCCTTCCAAACTGGCGTTAATGCACCTCTCCTGCCTGATTTAGCTCTGGGTCCTGGAAACTGGAGGTATAGTTTAGTCTGTAGTAGTCCAGATGTCCATGCTTATCCAAGTTGCCCCTTCATCTCCTTCACCCTTGTGACCCTTGAGTCAATGTCTAGAGGTGAAAGCACACTTAGGTTTGCAGGTGGTCCTTGATAAAGGCAACATTTGGAAGCAGCTGTGAATCTTTTTTTTATTAAATATATTTTTATTGATTTCAGAGAGGAAGGGAGAGATAGAAACATCAATGATGAGAGGGAGTCATTGATTGGCTGCCTCCTGCACGCCCCCCTACTGGGATCGAGCCTGCACCTGAGCATAATGCCC